TAGCATAGAAGAGCGACTCCCGTGTTTATTCAGCGATTTATTAATCGCCGACCGTACTTTACGCCTATCAGAGCAGAAGTAACAACTTCTTTTGAAAAACTAGCTGATGAGCCATCCCAATTTAAAGGAAAAATTTTAATGCTATTAGAAAAGCCTTTAAAATCGAAAACTGTGCAGCTAGTCAAGTTCAAAGTCAAGGATTATGCTACATGTGAATTCACGTGGAACGACCTTTGAACATCAACGCGCGCCCGATGGAACAACATTTTCTTTTAAAAGAACGACTCCCGTGTTCATTTAGCGATTTATCAATCGTCGACCGTACTTTACGCCTGTCAGAGCAGAAGTAACAATTGCTTTTCAAAAACTAACTAACGAGCCATCCTAATTTAAAGGAAAAATTATAATACTATTTGGAAAAGCAGTTAAAATCGAAAACTGTGCAGCTTGTCACGATCAAAGTCGATGATTGTTACACGTAAATTCACGTGGAACGACCTTTGAATATCAACGCGCGCCCGATTGAACAACATTTTCTTTTTTTTTTTTTGACTGTAAATCAAGAAACCAACACCAGCCAGTCGCCCGGCCGGGCGACCAAGAAAATATTTTCAGTCGCCCGAGGCCAAATGTTAGTCGCCTCAGGCGACCGGGCGCCGTCAGAGCACAGCTTGACTTGTTGACTTCATTGTTCTCACTAAATACAAAGTGAAAAGCATTTAACAATGTTAAAAGTTTAGTGCAGATAAAACAAAATGGCAGTTTGTACACAATCACCATGCATCTTCAAATATGTTATAAAAAGTTGCAAATAACTGCAAAATCCCTTAGAAAATATAACACTTTAGCTCAAAAACACTGTTTCTTGCTGAATTTATTTAAACAAACTAGCCACAATCCTTGTTCTAGGAAAGGAAAAAAATTGAATGAGTAACCTCCAAGTTCATTTCCAGTAATCAGTTTTGGTGTGATGGTTCACAAAGCAACTTTCATCAGGAAGGCCAATGCACAGGTAAACATTATACTGCCTATATTTTTAGTTGGTCTTCTGCCCCTTGAAAGTTTCCCCATTTTTCTTGGCCTTTGTGTATTTCTTCTCTCACAACACATCAATAGAGAGCTTAAGCAACGAACATTTTTTCACGACGGAGGTCTCCATTCCGTGAGAGGAATGGATCGAGAACGGCGTTTGAGGCGCGAAAATTTTTAACTTAAGCGTGTGTTCCTTTTTCACGACGGACGCGTACAGTGTTGAATTGCTCAGTGCACCGAAACGAAAAACTGGAAAAGCTGTTGGAAATGTCTTTGTTTAAAGAAGCTCGGGAAATGCTTTTGTTAAACCATGATATGAAAGTTATAAATGACGAAGAGTTGCTTTTGTTGCTGGACGACAACACATCGAGAAACCCCGAGTTTAACTATGAAAACTATCAGAGATTCAACTTAGATGAAATTCAGGAGCCGGAATGCAAGGCGGAATTTCGTTTTAACAAGAACGATATCCCAGTGTTGGCGGAGGTTCTTGGGTTGCCCGAAACATCCTGATGTTCTCAAAGAACCGTGGCAAACAAGCTGGAGGGCCTTTGTATGCTACTTAGAAGAACAGCATACCCTTGTCGCTACAGTGACCTCATACCGAGATTCGGTAGACCCGTTCCCGAACTTAGTATGATCACTAACTGTGTCGTTGACTACCTTTATGATAACCATGGTCATCAATTAACACAGTGGAACCATCAGATCATGAGTCCTCCTCTCCTTCAAACGTATGCTGATGCTGTGTCCGCACAAGGAGCTCCCTTAAACAACTGTTTTGGGTTCATTGATGGGAGTGTCAGGCCAATATGCCGACCTGTTGAGCTTCAGGAAGTGGTCTACAATGGGCACAAACGAGTGCACGCGTTAAAATTTCAGTCACTTACAGTACCCTCTGGACTAATAGCCAATCTGTTTGGACCAGTAGGTACGTTTTTTGAAAAGAAACTTAAATTTGGTTACTGTTTTCAGCAATTCAATTTTACATGCGCAAAATTTTACACTTGATTAAAAAAAAAGGAAAAAAGAAAAAGTATAAATGAAGGTAATGAAGCCAAGGAAATTTTATAAATCGATGTAATCTAAATTCACTAAATTAATTTGGTTTTATTCAGATAGCATGTTGGAACCTCCTGAAAGTAATGATCATAACAATTTTGCTGATCACATTTTTAGAGGGCAGGAAGCATGATGCTGGCATGCTGAGGGATTCCCACATGCTTGATGACTTGGAACTGCATGCCTACTCCCCTACTGGCCAAGTCATGTGTGTATATGGTGACCGTGCCTACCCACTTAGGGCACACTTACAGGCTCCATTCAGAGCAGGAGGAAGAGCATTAACACCAGCTATGGAGTTATACAATAAAAATATTAGTAAAGTAAGAACCTCAGTAGAATGGATTTTTGGAGATGTGAAAAATTCCTTTAAATCCCTTGACTTCAAAAACAACCTTAAAATTGG